TTCTTGCTGGGCCACCACACTTTGCTTCGGAGACCATCCTTCGCTGTCACGATCCTTTGGTGACCCTCGTGAGCTAACTCTAGCATCTGCTTACGCAAGTTTGCAGAAAAATACTGCATACCTCTCATCACTAATCTTCCAATCATATTTATTTCATCACGCAACAGTCTGTACGGACTAGGAGCAGTAGACCAGTCTTCTGTCTTCCAACAGCGACACACCTCATGACGTCATTCAAACCTAGCTGATGGTGTAGCTCTAAAAACAAGTTCCAATGACTCTAACCCTGATAAGTAGAGTTGAAATATTTCGCAGGCCCGGACGACTGCTATGGCTTCTTTTGCTGTGCGGCCATACCGCCCCTCGTTATCACTTAAACTTCGGCTTGCAAAATCAACTACTCTCTTCACCTCTTGCCTTTCTTGTACCAGCACAGAACCAAGCCCGACCGGGATGGCAACAGTAACAACCTCAGTGTGCGCTTCCCTGTCGTAGAAAGCCATCATTGATGATTCAGCTAATTGGTTCTTCAGAGCCTCAAATGCTTTATTTTTCTCATTGCCCCAATGCCGCTCAGTACCTTAGCGGGTCAACTTCCTGACTGGTTCCACAGCTGTTGCGATATCTGGTAGGAACCATAAGCTTAAACTGACAAGATCTACACCATGCTTGTTAGAAGCAACCCCGTTAAGAAGACAATAACCGAACTAGCGTTGCGCGCGAGCTCAGAGATATTTTCAATCTGTAAGCTTGTAAGCAAAGTGACGCGTACAATTATCGCGTGTGCGAGATTTTTTGTTTGAGAACCGTATTTTTGAGGACTTTTTACGAAGTTTTTTTATTTGCCGTGTTACCGTGTTGAGGTTGTTTTGGCCGATTAAACGTGGATTTGTTTTCCGAGGGGTTTTCCGTAACTGCTTAAGGACAAACCGCCATGGATACAAATCATTCCGATTTTGCACTTACCTTTGTTGAGGGTACGATTTCTCTCTTACAGTCGGTTTAACAGCGTTACAAGGTTTCTGTCGTGATCTGCAGTTGTCTTTCCTTGTTCTAAAATGTCATCAGCAATATCAGTGGCTCCTCGGCATCCTGAGATTGTCTGCTTGATAATTTTCTTGGTATTTTTCTAGAGCGCTATTAATACCAAAGCTCAGCCTCTTGTAACAATGCAGGGAGTCACCAGCTGAAAGGTTGTGATTTCCCTGTTCCAGCGCAATCTGACGGAAGCCAATGTTTACGTCAAGTTCGAAGAAGACCGCGATCCCATTCAATTCTTCCAGTTCCTCTGGCTGCAGCTCTGTTTTAAGGCCCTTCCTTACAAGGTTGTTAGGTTGTCTCTCACCAAGCACAGTCGACTAGGTGCCCGAATCAACAAGCTTGCTTGTCGTTGTGTCATCGATCTTGATCATTACCACGTTACCTTCACAAGCTCTCTCTTCACTGAAGTTTCAGTTAGGAAATGTATAAGGCTCGTCTCCGCTGTCACATTCTACTTGATTAGCTTGCTTATCGCCGGATCACCTCTGTCTACCTCCACTTGCTTTACCACCCTTTTTACTCTGACCTTCACTTTCACAACAAGCTGCCGGTGCCCTTTCGCGCCACACTTTGCACAAGTCTTACCACGAGTTGGATATACCTTATTACGAGCAAAATGTCCCGCCTTGCCTCCCGCGCAACACTTGTGAGGACAAAATCCATTTGACGTCTCGTTTTCTCGATCCTTGACCATGTTCAAGTTAATCTGTACACAATCGTTGCTCTTTTCCCCCTCTCAACCTGCAATTTTTCTTGCATGAGGCCTTGCCGTCTCCCATGCCTTTCCCTTTTCTATCGCTGCAGCTAGCTGTATATTTGGCTCCTCGAACAGCTTGGTCCGTAATTCCAGGGAAGACATTTTCTCCAACGACAGATCTCTCACGGCGAATTCACGTTCCCCAGGCCCATAGCCATAGTGCCTTGCTTGTTTAGTCGAAGCACAAACGATCAACTTCTTCTCCGGGTTCTTGGCGTAGCTGGCGTAGAACACGCCTTTCATATGCAGAATTTCCATGGAGTATGGACATGAAAATACGCGTTCGAACGGCTGCTCGATAAACATCATCTTCTTGGCCCTCAGGAGCAGGAACGATTCCCAGATTCCTAATGATGTCTTGTACTCCACAACCACCCCGATAACGTTATTGGTTTTTTTTTTCTCGCGGCATTTTAGAGATTTGCTTTGTCTTCGGCATGATAAGTGAATCCTCGCAGCCAAACACGCAATTGCTCACTCAATTCCCGATTTTGAGCCCATAATATCCATCGGCTGGGAGTTGATTTCCACTACAGAGATGATTTCCACAATCTTTGTTGCCAATGTAATGTTTGCACTACAAACAAGTCCTCGATACAAGTCGATACAAGTCGGTTATCGACAGAAAACAAGAACACGTTTCAGTCCGCCATCTTTATTTTTCGCTCGCCTACAATACTGAGGGTTGCGCTTGCACAGGCAACCCAGTTATAATCACTACAAATACCCCCCACCGATGCAGCGCCTCTTTAGAAACTTGCCCCTTTTATGTGTCACTTGGTATGTTTCGCAACTCTTCCCCTAGGGGACTCCGGTAAAATGTAAAACAGAGGCCATTCATACATACATACATTTCATTACTCGGATTTGTATTTACAATTTTTCATGCGCCCACAGTTAGCTTGAGTGCTATTCTAGGTGGATCGCATGTTAGACGTAAAAACTATTACATAGGCGTTCACAAATAACTTGTATATATAATCTAACAATTTTTTTGATAGGAAAAATTAACCGTGACAGAATAAGTAACTTTATTAATATCATAAAGGACTAACTAAGGGTATAACATGTTGACTTACAATCTAATGATTTTGTTAATAGGACAGATTTATTGTGACAATATTTTGTGTGTTAGAAATCGGTTTTTTTCTTCAGATTAATAAAACACGAAGAATTACTTAGCACTTTGTTTCTTTCGTACATTTATTGAATCCTTTGTAGAGGTCTATCAAAAAATACTCTCTGAGGCCTTTTTTTTGGCCAGTCTCGAGACTTTTGTGTTATTTTTACGAATAATAATATACATACGTTTTATAACCTAATTTAGAAGCCCCTTCTTACGCAAAGGTATTTGTAAACCTATAGCATCTCTTTATTCATAAGATTATTCATCACTCGTATAATGTATGTCTAATGTAAGTCTGTTCTGAGATGTTGTTAAGTGGCTGGCATGGTTTCTGAACCTTTCTCGTGACATGCATTTATAATATTTCATAACATGCTCTCGTAACATACTCTCAGGCAAGAACCTTTGTGTTATACAAAACTTTTACTTTATTCTCTCTTTAAAGGTGCCACTGATGATAACGACCCATTTATTGAAAAATTAAAATATTAACTTTCTTTCATTTTTTTCACACGCATCTTTGCAGAATTCAATCTCTCTCTTATTTACGAGCGTTGATAATCTTCGCTGTACCTCAGAATTCTCGGCAGATTGTTCGAACATTTCTAATGTTATACAACTATCATCAAATGAAAATTAAAAAGTGCCTCGCCCAGGCCATGCTTCCCAATATTGTGCTGCAATCTTTGTTCTTTTTTCTGATAGCCTTTCCCTCGCCTATAGAAAAAAGCCGATACATCTAGAGACTCTAAAAATGTCTTTTCAGAAAAGATCATTGACCTTGTTTTAGAAGACTTGTTAGGGTACTATAGAAGGTGTGTTGGGGTTTTACTCTAAGCCAGGGGTATTTTGTAGCGATTGTCACTGAATGCCAAAGTAGTAGTGCTATAGGCGAAACATTAAAGCAACAGCAGCACATTAACTATACCTGTGTGAATGGGATACCTTCCAGTCATAAGTGCTCCTCTGGCTGGTGTACAAAGCGGTTGAACATAATAATTGTTGAGTATAACCCCTTCTCTGGCCAACGAGTCAATGGTTGGAGTGTTGATTTTTGATCCATGAAACCCAACGTCGCTCCACCCGAGATCATCAGCAAGCATAAACAAAATGTGCGGAGGAGATGATTTTCGCGTTTTTGCCTCCAGTGGACTCACTGCCACGAAAAAAGCGAACGCAAACGCAACAAGACTTCTCAGGAGAGACATGTTACCGGGATTGAAATGACATTAATTTTCCAGCGAACTTCGAGCTGTAACCAGGGAAACTAAAGCCGGCTGAAGGTAGATAGATAGACAGATAGATGGTTTATTTAAATCACATCGCAGCCTGAAGGCTGAATTAAGTAACTTTTACAACTTTTAAAAGGACAATAATAATCTATGATAAATCTATGTTAAATATAATGGTAAAAATGTTTAAATTTGTAAAACTTTTTCATCCTTGAACTAAAATTTAAGAAATAATCTATGTATTATGAGAAGATGTGTTGAATAGCCGGGACATTGCGAGTATGAAAGTGTTATTTGCCCTATTGGTTTGAGCGCGCGGTAAAACAAAGGGACGATTGTATCGAAAATTATAAACAACATCATTTTTCTGTGGCAGCAATCCATGTAGCTTATGGTTGGGGTCGGCTACTATGGCGTCAAACAGTTTAGTGCATAGCTGACTATGGTGTTCGGTTATTGGCGTTATTCCCAAAACTTCGCAGGCTTTGTTGTAGCTCATGCTGGGCAAAATTATCGATAGTGCCCTTTTCTCGATATGTACGAGCTCGTTCTTAAGGTACTGCAGAAGCGCGTTGTGAAAAACCGGAACTCCGTAGTCTATCGTAGATCGAACACACGAAAGATAGAAAAGAACTAGGTCTGAAGGAGGTATGTTGAAGTCCCAAATGTAATAACTGTCCTAAATGTAATAAAGTCCTAAATGTGATAACATTTGGTCCTAAATGTAATAACGTTTGGTCCTAAATGTAATAAGCCTCCAATGAAATCGTACAACTGCGCTAGTGCACTGTTCTTATAGCAGACATCCACATTGAGATGTTAAAGTATTTCGTTCATTGAGATGTTAAAGTATTTCGTTTAAGTATTTCGTATTTCGTAAAGCATAAAATATTTCGAATGGTGTTTTGTGAGCTATTACTTCCTTAGGGTCGTCATTTAGAATTCTTTGATAAAGAGGGAGCTGTTTCGCCCAGTTTACACCGTCTTGGCCCATTTTTTGAAGGTCATATTCCATCTTGGATCTTAGTGTCCTGTGGCAACGTTCCACCTTGCCTTGTGATTGTGGATGGAGCGGGCGACTGTCAATCAATTTTATATTCATGCGATCGCAAAGTAATTTCAAAGCTTTCTTGAACTCCCCTCCTTGGTCGCACTGTATTATTTCTGGCGATCCATGCTCCATATAAATAGATTCTAATTCACTTGCAATAAACTGGCTTGATTTGCTTTCCAAAGGACGAAGCCAAAGGAAACGGCTGAAAACATCAATCACTGTTACAACGTATCTGTAGAAATGTCCATTCATCTTCACGGATCCTTTTTTGCTCATATCCATCAAATCTATTTGGTGCCTAACATGAACGTCTCTGGCTCTGATAGGTTTCAGCTTCGCCTTATTAAGAAACTTAGCATTTCGGCGATAATGACTTTTGTCCGTATTTAGAATAGTTTGTATTTTAGCTCGACTTACTCCTAAAAAGTTGTCCCTCAGTGAGCAAGCCAACTTCCCCGCACCAGATCCTTTCGTCCTTTCAAATTCCTCAACCACTACTTTGTTAACCTCTGATGATTTTAATAGTCGACGCCCCTCGTAATAAAGTGCCTTATCACCATAGTCTTCTTTCACTGATATCCTTCCGCCGGCTCTCCAGTATCGCACAGCAGCTGCACGCATTGCTCTCCTCCGTTCTTTCACTGGTGGTTGCGCCTTGCCTTCAACAAGGTCGAGCAGTGCTTCATGAACGTCGTCTGCTGAATCAGAGGGTTTCCGATTCCCTTCGAAGTTTTCACGATCTTTATGGGCCACAGACCTATCCCACAATGATGCTAGTAATGCTAAAATCATAACAGCTAAAACAATAAATCTCATGTTGAATCAATGCAAGTACTAGCGCTCCACATTCGATCTAGATCTCAAAGAAAACTGCCGGAATATTTCACAGGCTCGTGAAATGTTTATCACTCGGATCCGCACTCAAGAATTTTTCCACACTCAGTTCAACCAATCAATTCAACGTTCCTGGGCAAATCTTTGTGTTACTGCCAGTTATTTTGAAACTGGAAAGTTAAGCGCTTTACGTGCATGTTATTCTCATACTGCTGATTCAGTAGAAGAAAAGTCCGTTTTAGAGTCAGGTCATGCTGTTTTATCTAATGTCTGATCGTTAAGGACATCAGTGCGTCGAGCAAACCTTGTTTCCTTTTCTTTCTTTCTTTTTTTTTTTTAATTCTTCAAATCAATTAGTATACTGCTAAAAAACGGCTCACACGATTAGTTGTACTCATATCTCAGAGAAAGCAAGGGAACAAATTTTTGCGTGAGTTTTTGGGGACCGGGACATAATTTACAGCCTTCAACATAAACAACCATTTTTAATGTTCATTATAAATCACTCGTGTGACTGTTTCCGGCCTTATATAAAACTTAATCGAGCAACAAGTATGCGCTAAAAACACCTGTTGCTTATTTCGAATTACAGTACTACCTCTTCCATAGGAACCTTTTTCCGTGCCTTTTAATTTTGGAGCTCAAAAAATTTGCGTCAGTGAGCTCGTTGATGACATGCACCGGATTTTTGTTAAGTGTCTGTTTTGTGATTGGCAATCTGAGCCGGTGATTTGTGATGATGTACTGGTCAGTAGCTTCTTTGCATTTACACTTGGTAAATGTAAGTCATTGACTATATGATTCGATGGAGACACATGCAATACCTTATTCGTTTGTCGGATTTGTTGCAGGCATTTCAAGATCAAGAGAACATAATTGTCCCACTTATGTTCTCTCGAGGAGAAAAATTATTTTGTCCATATTCATATACTCAGGGAGATATTCAAGAATTTGAAAGCAACAACCCTCTAGAGTGCTGTTACGAGATCCGAATTGGTAAACAAAATGTGCATGCTAACAAGGTCTATGCAGGTATGGAAAGACAAAAAATTTGTAGCCGAGCCTGCAAATTGTCCGACCTACAAGTCAGCGGACTCCCTTGTCCAAGTTTGTAATTTGGTTTATGACTTGTTAGTCAGGAAGCACTGTCACGAAGGGCGCTCATTTTTCATTTTCGCTAAACATTTTGAGTAGAAGCAGGCAACATACTCGTGAATTGCGCGCATGCGCAAGAGCTAGTTATAGATACGATGTGGGGAATGGCATTCGCTAGCTCGCTCGCTCGCTCGCTCGATTGGTCGATTCCTGTAAACTTTTTTTAGATTTTAGGCTTTTGAGTGCATTTGATAGTTTTTGGCGAGCAGTAAACAGACGAAATGGCGACCTTTGTTACTAAGAATAGTGGTGGTGGTTTTTTCGTTTTAGTTTCAACAAGCGGCGCCAGCGACTGGCAGGCATGCAAGTATTCACACTGAAATAATAGAACAACTTTCGTTTTTCATAAAATTGTAATCTACAATCCTTGAACTTAAAAACAATCCGAAGATTCATTGAAAATATCACTTACTGCGAAACGCTCGGAGTTTACGGATGTTCAAAAGCTTTTTCTGTTATGGCGTGAGATTGAGGACAAAATGATCATTACGTTTCGTCGCGTGTTTTTCCTGTGTGAAGCAATAGAAGATGCCGGCGACTGACGAAATAACAAGTTAACACGAAAATCAAATAACACCTAAACAAACACTTTTAGCTACCGATTTTCAGTGAATTTTTAAAGAACAATTTTCTTTTAAGTTTCAAGACAATTTGAAGATTCAACATACATTCAACGTACTAAAATGCGAAAGTTACACACCAAAAAATTGATAAATATGCCTGAAATGAAATGCTATCTTGTTATTGAATATACGTTGCCTAGCACGTGACTCAAATCTACCCCAGCGGAGATCCAAAATGACGGTGGCAGGCTTGGCTTAGTTATATCACTCAAAACCCGTTCCCGTTTGTCTCATTTGATAAGGGGGGAATCGTTAATGTTTTCATTAAGACAGTATTGCCTTGATTTTCTAATATTTACAACGACAGACAGTAAATTTCACTTTTCACCCACATTTACTTCCAACCTTTTCTTTTGAACCAGAAACAAAAATGGTCGACGTTTAAAACACATGACATCGTCCACCTTGTCAAATGTAATAGCATGATCATTTCAATTGTAATGCCTTCTTATCCCAACGTTAATTTGTTTCTTTGCTACATTAGCGAACACTGAACTACTGCTCGTACTCTAGATGTGACAATCAACCACAAAATTCCCTAAACCAGATAACATTAAACATAATCTAAAAAATCATGTGTCAATTCACGAGTTTGCTCACAGAGCACTTTGATTAAAGGATATTTTACTAAAACAGTTTCACTCTACAGCTAAGAGTGGATAACGACGAAAGTAACAACTCTGTCACATTAACTCACAATACAACAGCATCACACAAAGCCACTGAATAAATTAATGCAAGAGAACAGAATAAATCAGACAAAGGCATTTATTGTGGTTTCCATTACATCAAAGTACAAATTTGATTGTAACCACCGCTAGTCAAAAAATCAGGTGGCTCCGAAATCATTCTTACTTGTCACTTTTGTCTTCCCCACCATTATTACATTTACAGTCGATAATCCTGTTTTAAGACATGCTATTAAAATTCAGAGGCTAAAACTCACTCACTTGTGCTATTAACAATGTAATGGCTTGTAAAACTAGGGATACCATTCACAAAGTGACTTGGAATCAATAAAATTGTAACGAAAAACAACGTTTGCCTTTGATATTCTACAAATGTAAAATACCTATTTGAATAAAACAGTTTTCTCTCTCTTTACTCTCGACGTGCTTGATGCGACCAGCTCCGATCTACATCCACGGTCCCCAAATGCCATGCTTACGAGCCTCTTTTAGTGCATTTGGGTCAGCAGGTTTGTAGGCGGCAGGAACTGCAGTGTTTAGGTAATAATTCATTCTATCTTTCATCTCCTTTAGAACATCAGGTAACTCGGTGCTGAGGTCGTGTCGCTCTTCGGGATCAGCTGTGATGTTATAAAGTACAACGTCCAAAAGGTCCGCATTTCCCTGTAAGATTCCAACATAAAGAACTGGACATATATAAACTTTTAATAATGATTCGATGTAGAAGTTCTGGCATACGGAGTGATTTGCATAAATATATTTGAGGGTTGATTACGTATTGCTATTGTAATTCAGGTAGTGATTTCGAGGTACTGGTGAGGGAAAAACGATTCAAATATTAAAGCACTGACCATGTAATAGATCCTCAACTGCTCCAGAATCTCTTCATTTGTCTCATCTTTAAGAAACTCTTTGGACAAAAGAACATCAACTGGAACTCCGCCCAGCTCGGGTGGTTTAAACCAGGTGATATTTTTAACATTCATCAAAAGCTTCATGCTTCCCTTCCGAAGAGCCATTCCTTGCCAGTTGACTCCCAACATTTTACTTGTCCCAGATGGCGGATTATCGATATTAAGCAAGATTTCTGTTCGAGGTGAAGCTTCTCCACGTGACAAAGTGCTCCACACATCAAAGCCATCAATGGGGATAGGATGTTTTGCATCGTTCGAACCACCTGTGGTCAAACCAGAATGATAAGAATATTATTTATAAGGTTGTCACAAACAAACACATGAAAGACAAGGCAATAGAGGAGAAAGGGAAGAAGAAATGAGGCAAGAACACTATTTACTAAATTAACTCTCAGGTATTACGACTAATTCTCTGAAAGAGTAAAGTAAACAAATCTAACAAAACATTAACATCTAACTAACATTATGAGGAAAGATGTTCAATTATGATATTCACTCCATTTCTCGCTACGTTTGTAACTTAATGGATAACTCTTGCCTTTCTGGATTATGTTCCATACGAGATGTTTGCTCGAGAGTCTTATTTCCACGGACTAACTCTTTACAGAGTTAGTTTTCTTAAAAATCTTCAAACCTAAATGGAAAAGACACACCTTCAAGTGAGGGATAATCAGAGAAGTGGAAATGAAGTCATAGATAACCACACCTGCAAGGTTGATGAGAGTAGGAAAGAAGTCGCTGATGTGTAGAAGTCCTTCGCATTTCACGCCGGTCTTTTCTAACATTTTTCCGTGGACAAAAGCAGCACCTCTCACTCCTCCCTCCCATAAGGTATGTTTTGTTCCTCTAAGAGGCCAGTTATATCCGCCATACGTAGGTTCTCCACCATTATCAGTGCTGAAGACTGTTAAAGTGTTCTCCCATAGCCTGGACGAGAACAATGAAGATCACAAACGCTTGTATTCACCCTTCAAATCAACAGAGTTATCACGGTTGCCGTAAACTTTGCACATAGAAAACCCAAAGAGATCCTCGTGTAATAAGAGTCTTGCCCAGCACTGTGATAGCACGAATCTAGGATAATGGCCGCTAAAGCTCACAATAGAATCAAAATATGAAACCTTCAAGGAAACTGATACGAAACTCACCCTTTCTTTTTAAACATTTTCGTGATGTTGCCAACAGCTTCGTCCAGTACAGCGACCATTCCAGCATGCACTCGGCGCATCTTTTGATGAATAAACGAGAATTTGTCCACATACTGGTCTGGTGCCTGGATGGGATTATGAACATTCTGGAAGGCCATGTACAGGAACAGGGGCTGTTTTGGGTCATGTTGATCCAAAATCTCCTCTATCCTCTGATGGAATCATAAAATAAAAACAACCGTGAAATACTCATTACGGACATAACACAGTTCATCGTAGCCCTAGTATTGCAATATCTTTTGAGAAAAGTATAAGATAAAATATGCATTCAGGATGTAGGTAGGAGAGAAGGAGTTTCTTTGTAGAAGTGCTAGCGTCACGAAAAGCGTATAACTTTAATTAGGCAGTAGCAAACTTTGTGGGAAGTCTGAAACGCTATACTGGGAGGTTATC